GAAAGCAGGGGGAGTAGATGGGTGCCCTGGGGAGCCCTTGGGGAGGCCAAAGAGCTGATTTGCATATAAAAAAATGAGGAGCAAAGAAATAAAATCTTCCCAGTGTGCACTGAGGAGTGACTGGGGGGACAACTCCCACTTCCAGCTGAACAGAGCTTCTTGGGTGCTTTAGGTTGGGTCCCAATTTCTCTTCTATAATAGCCCATCCCCTTCCTCTTCTGCCACAGTCTTATGCCAACACCATAAATTTCTTTAAAGACAACCTCCTTTGTATAACGTGCATAATAAACACCCTATGGCACACCATGTGGCACGTCCCAGGGAGTGCTGGACACCCCTGGCTTGGGAGCTGCTGTTGCAGGAGACCCTTCATCACTCGTCTCTCCATCGGGTGCAACAGACAGCCTTTGCCTGGCTCAGTGTCTCCACTACTTGCCCTGGTAAAGGTTTCTTCTCTCTTCCTTCCCAGATGATGCAGAGGCTGCGGTGAGATGGCCTGGGGACTTTGTGGGTGTGGATCCCGTGAGGCGAGCAGAGCTGGTCAGAATCGAGGGCTCTGCAGGGTGCCAGCCTCTCCCAGCTGATGCAGGTGGGTCTGCTACTGTCCTGCATCCAAAACTAAGTCTCTGGCTCCCCGGGATTAAGCGTGAAGCAGTGCAAGGCAGGGTGAGTATAATCCCCTTTCCATGGCCCTAGTGCTCATAGACTTCAGTTCAGCCCAGGGAGGGGACAATGCTGAACCTTACAACCAGTTGTTGGATTTTTCCCAAGGTGCATTTCCTTGCCCTGCAATTCAAATTTGAAAGCTGCTGCCTAGACATAGTTTGCAGCTAGTGTTTTGCTATGAACAGTGTGGAAATGAATCATAGAATCATAGAATCATTAAGGTTGGAAAAGACCTCTAAGATCATCGAGCCCAACCATCGACCCAACACCACCATGCCCACTAAACCATGTCCCTAAGCGCCTCATCTACCCGTCTTTTAAATACCTCCAGGGATGGTGACTCAACCACTTCCCTGGGCAGCCTGGTCCAATGTTTAACCACTCTTTCAGTAAAGAAGTTTTTCCTCACGTCCAATCTAAACCTCCCCTGGTGCAACTTGAGGCCATTTCCTCTCCTCCTATTGCTAGTTACCTGGGAGAAGAGACCGACACCCACCCCGCTACAACCTCCTCTCAGGTAGCTGTAGAGAGCAATGAGGTCTCCCCTGAGCCTCCTTTTCTCCA